TATTCATTGGGTATCATCATTTGAAGTTAACAAGAACTAGTGAAAGATACACATAGTGTTCATCATCTTCATCCTCTCTTCTCAAAAATCAACATCTACACATAATCATGGTTATTGATTCAGGAAAAGTGTTGTGGTGATAACATTCAAATTAAAGATTCAACTCAGATTTTGGTTGAGCAATTGTGGTTTGTTCTTAAATAAAATCGTTTGGATTTTATCCTCCAAGATTCCAATTTGTGCAGGGTTTTTACAGTATTTGCTTCATCGAATTCATCCGAGTGAGAAGATTAAGAAACTGTGGGTTTGCTTAATCAAGTAGCTGTAATTGGAGGATTGTGAAGGAAGATTTGGGGTCAAATTTCTTGGATCAAAATCAACCGAGTGAAAGTATTGTAGAACAAGAGTTCATGCAAATCAAGTAGCGGTAACCAGAGGTTTGTTCGAAGAATTTGGCACTTGGTTTGGGTAAAACTAAGGAAAGGGAAGAAGACTGTTATATCAGCAACATTGGTTTGTTTGTATTATGAACTATATCTTCTCTTGTAACATTTACATCTTAATATAAAATATCTCAATTCTAGATTCTAGAATTGGGGGAAGACGTACCCTACGCGAGGACGACAAGGGAAACTGCCTTAATTAATCGAGTATTCTTCTTATTTTTCTTTACATCCATACTTGATTTATAATTTGTGGGAATTAAATTGTCGAATTTGCTTGTACTGAAATTGTGGTGTGTTGAGATCATTTCACAACATTGGTAACAATCTGTTTGATTGATACCTAAGAAAACTCACTGCTATAATTTAGTAAAATCAAACCTATGGTGCTTTGCACATAAGGCGTCTGACAAATTGATTTATCCATAAATTTTTCATTATATTAGATTTATCTTAATCAACTCATAGGAAGTAACTCATACTCATTGAGGATGTTTAAGTGATTGACCAATTGAGTAAAACATATTGATTCTTACTTTGTCATCCTATCCCATACGGTTACGTATATCTGATCTTATCAATAGAGGATCGTTTAGACGATTGGAGATTCCGGGAGCTTTCACATGTATATCTGAAAAACAATTTTAAAAAGCACAAATAATTTTTTAAGCGATCTATTCAACCCCCCTTCTAGATATATCACATCGTCTAACACTTGCTTCACATGTTGCCTATTAAATGATCCCAATCATATGTAATAACAAACTCCCATTCGGTTTATTTCTAGACAAATACAATATGCAAGATGTAATGCATAATCTTACAAACATTCTTCATGACATGATTATCATAGTGTAGCAAAACAAAACAAAACATGTTAGCTAAGATCACAACCATAATCATAAACTTGCATGTAAAAACACAACTTCTTTAGAAGATCTAAGAACACGAAGAACACCATGAATAGAAGAAACGTGTAAGGTATTTATTGCATATAAACATCTTCCTTAATTTCCTAAAAAGGGAAAAGGAGGATTAAATAAAAATCTAGCCCAAAGTGGGGACATGCACCAAAAAATCAATAAAAGGAACCAACCCAATAAAAGTAAAAAAGGAGCCATTATCAGGCCCATGTAGAGCAATCACAACATCAAAATTAAAAGACCCACGCATGGGTAAAGAATAGGAAATAAATCTTATCTACTCACTCACATACTCCATAGCATAAACCAAATGTGTTGTATCCTATTGCACATTATACTATATGTGACAAATTTTTACTACAGCATCACCAGTTACTTTCATTTATGACTATAAATAAAGATCATGTGATATTTGTAGAAGCGCTAAAATATAGAAGATGGCAATCTACAATGCAAAAATAAATAAAAGCTCTTGAAGATAATAATACATAGATAGTGTGTCCACTTAGGATAGATAAAAAGGAATTGGGGGTGCAAATGGGTCTATAAAATCAAGTATCATTTGGATGGAACCATAGAACTGTTTAAATATCGACTGGTTTTTCTTGGAAATCATTAAGTTTAAGGCATTGACTATAAAAAAACTTTCTCTTTAGTGGCAAAAATGGTCACCATTCAAACTGTTCTAGCAGTTGTTGTTGCAAAGAATTGGGAAATTAATAAAATGGGCATAAACAATGCATTCATACATGGTAATTAACAATGCATTCCCCTAAGGTTTCCACTCCTCTTAATCAGGCATGGTTTGTAAACTTCACAAATCATAATATGGGTTAAAGAAATCCCTACGTTACTGATTTGCAACACTGTCTTGGGCGCTCCAAAAGTATGGTTTTAAGAGGTCCTACTCGCATTATTATTAGTTCACACTACATGATAAAGACATACAACATGTGGTTCTAGTGTATGTTTAAGATTTGACTATATATGGAAATAATCATGACTTTATACAACAATTTAAACAATACTTGAAAGATGCTTCCATATGAAAGATTTGGGTGAATCGACATACTTCCTAGGTGTGGAAGTTATTAGATCCCCTGCATGTATTTTTATTTGTCAAATAAAATGTGATCTAGATATTATTAATGCAGTTGGATTAATTGATGTGAAACCTGCAAGTACCCCTTTAGAACTAAACCATCATCCTCGTCTTTCTAACAACGAGCTTCTTATTAATCCTAATCGACATCAAATATTGGTTGGATGACTTATTTATCTTTGTCTCACCCAACTTAAACTATCATATTTCATCCATTTGTTGTCCCAGTTTATACAGAAATTACAATTAGAACATTGGAAAACTACTTTACGAGTAGTTACACACCTCAATGGAAACCCTAGACAAGAGGTCCTATTGGATAGTCATTGTGATATTAAACTTTATGGATGATGTGACTTTGACTGGGAAACATTCCTTCTTACTTGCAAGTCACTTACGGGAAGGATTGTCTTTTGGAAAACTCTCCCATATCTTAGAAGATAAAAAAACAACACATCGTGGCTCGTCCATCCATGGAAGTTGAATATTATTCAATGGATAGTACCACATGTCAATTGAAATTTATTAAGGGTGTCCTTGAAAGCCTCAGGATCACTCATTCCAAGCCCATACAACTTTACTGTAGTTTTCAAGCCGCGTTACATATCGACATAGATTGTCATTTCATATGTGATGAGATTTATCGTTGTAATTTGAAAACGTCGTATATTTCCACTCATGCACAACTTACAAATATATTAACTAAGTGATATGAAACAATAACTTTTAGCAAGAGGAAATTGTATTATATGTTTTTTATTAAATCATTGTGAAGAAAAATAATGTTGATTTGTCATATCTTTGACGAAGCTGTCAAGTGAGAGTCTATAGGCATAGTCTTAGGGAGATGTTGTAGGTGTATGTTTAGGAATTATGATACCAATAGCTAGCATTTTCAGGTATATATCTTTGCACTTTGTATGTGAATAATACACATAATTCTCTCATAATTTTATCAAATTAAATTTCATAACTTTGAGATAAAAGATAATTTAAAAATAAATTCTTAAGTATAATTATAATTGTTGTATCCCGTCACAGACCTAAACTAGTGGATTCAATTATGGAGGTCCAATTCAAAACTTCACCAAGTAGGAAAAATGGTCAGTTGGAGTTTCTAAGAGATACATGAAATTTGATCTTAATCACCCGAGCATTCCCCATCTTAAGATATTGTCACACGACTCTCTATGTCATATGCCAGGTTAGATGGGAGCACTTTCTACTGCATGCCATATATAAAACCTACCACGCACTAATTATATGTATTATCTTATTCTCACTCTCAAACTACATCTCTTAAATTTCACTGACTTGAGTGTTAGAGATAACCTTAAATATCCTTTCTACTTTGCTGTATCGAAAGTTCTTATCGCTGTATCAAAAGAGCTTATTCCTTCAACATCACATATTTCTTGTTTCACCTCAGAATAATGACGACATCTACACAAATTTCTGTATTAAATTCATCTAATTCTGAAAGTCACATCTCACTAAAGACGATCTTGCGTGACAATAATGGCGATCTCTAATTCAGTTATCAGACTCCCATCTCTAAAACCTACCTTAATATCACCATCAACCTTCATTATTTTCCCTTATTGACAGAGGATTATCCATCAAGAAGGAGTTGGATGACAAACATCCAGTGAGTTCCTTAAGAGAGTGTTACTTTAATAAAGACTCTAATGCAAGTGATAAAGAAGAAGCATAATTTACACTTGTAGGCAATATTAATTCTGATGAAGTTATACTTATGACTAATACACATCTGGAACATGATAAAATCAATGTGTGACATCTTAACACTGGTTGCATCAACCATATGCTTGAAAACAAGAATTGGTAGTTTGAATAATAAGTGAAAAGAGCTATTAGGTTAACTAATAATATCAAAGTCACATATGAGCGCTTGAAGAACATTCTTGTGAATATGAGAGATGGACAACAAACAATAATCAATTATGTGTGATATGTTCTTTTTATGGCAAGCATAAATATTGAGAGAGTTTGTAAGAAAATGACAACGACTTGGGTTGGAAAATTACAAACTCACTCATGACATAAAATTATCCAAACCTCGTAACATCCAAAAAGATAAAGTTGTTGTAGTGAAAAAAACTAAAACTAACTATTTCTAATTATATTAGTCCCACTTCTTTTTTTTTCTTTTCATTATTCGATGTGAGACTTAGATAAAAACCCACTTTGACACAACAAATCCTTCTTTCAACTAAAATCTGACATTTCTTGACCCTGTCTTCAAAAAATACATAATAATTTCCACGATTCACCATATTTGTAAAATGAGTCCTCTTCAATTTTTATATCTTCTCTTTTAGACTATGCTAGTCATCTGTTAATTTTGGACTTGTACATTGCCATGAGGAAAAGTTCATTCTCTCATCAAATAAAAGAAAATAAATGGACATCTTCAAATATAAAAAACACAAATAAGAAGATCAACAATCACCTTTTAAATGAATGAAGAACACTTCAAATGAATGAGTATTATTTATCTTCCTCACTTGATCAAAACTTTTTATGCTCTTCCTTCCTTCCTTTATCAAAACTTTTGCTTTTCTTTTTCCTTTCAGTGATTAAAATCTTTGCACTGATATAAGTTGTTGAAAAAATAACAAAAATAAATCTCTACACACGATGAAACACACCCACAAAAGAAATCGAACAAACTAAATTCAAAAAAATATACAATTCACACATTTATCGTGGTCCAACACTTCGTATAAGTTTGAGTTATTTTGGATATATTGTTACAAATTTTAAGTTTAAGGGGGTGTAATCCGGAAAATAGGGGAGACTAGCAAAAGTCATTACAAGTAGAATATTGTAACTAGAAGCCAATACAAGTAATTAATCATGTTTAAGTTTAGATAAAACAACTAGACAGAAATAAATAAATACAAAGATATTGGCATGGTTTATAATAAAGTTGAAGTAAACTACTAACTAATTAATATCAGAAACTAGTTTGATCTTCTGTCGATGAATGAATTCACCAGCTTTCTTGTTAATATATGGATCAGCTGCACCCCATCTTTCTTTGTCATCATAATCACTAATATGCCACACTTTACTCCCAACACCTTCAAATCCATTATCACTATTTTTAGTCCCTCTTTTATCCTTCTTGTTAGATTTGAACATGTTGAAAACAAAGAACAAAGAATGTTTCCTCTGCCTAGCCATAACTCTTCTTGATCACACAAGTACTACATTTTCACAAGTTATGATCTCTATTTATAGTAGAGTAGTAGCTAGTGTAAAAGTAGTTGGTAATTGTGTAGTTTGTATATATTTTTTGTTGAATTATGAATAAGGAAGAATCTGATGAAATAAAGAGACGATGAAAAATGAGTGTAAGAAAGGACAAAATGGTACGAAGATGCTTTTGAGAAAGCATATTGGTTATGATCCGTTAATCTCGTACTTGACCGGACCATGTACTACTGTCAACAATGCTCGGTTCTTCTACGTTTGTACTTATTAGATTCGCACTTTGCCACCATAAGTTATTATTGCTCTTATTATTTGTTCTTCTAAAATCTTTTGTATAAAGTTCAATTAAGAAATTTATTTGTTAAAATAACACTAGTTTTATAATTAAAAAAATTAGTAGTTTACGTTCTTTCAAAGAGTTCAATGACTATAGAGTACTCCTAGCATCCTCATTGTCCATCACCCCGAGAGAAATCTACAGGAAAATTTGTTGGAAATCAACATTGTCACCACTCAAATTTTGATTACTCAATTGTTCATAAAAATTAATTAGCTTGTGCAGTAATGATCAGAAGTAATTTATATTTAGAAACTGTTATTAGAGTCGGAAGTTTTTAAGGCGGTTAGTCAGGAGCAGTAGTTAGTTAAAAATATTTCTATAAAATACATGGTTTAGAAGTTACATATTTCAGAATCTTGTTTAGCGTAGCTGAGTAGTTGCATATTCAGAACTTTGTTCTGAGTTTTATAAGCATAATTAGTTTTGCTTACGTGACATAGTTTGTTTACGTGGCATATTTTATGTATTTAAACAAGTTTATTATAGTGAAATCATAATTGAATTTTTCACCATTTGAGAGTTTGTTACACTTTTCTCTCTTCTCTTTTATCTTCATCTTCAATCTTGTGCTCCAATAATTGGTTCAGTGCCTGGTTCAACTCACAGGGAAACACAAGTGTATATAAGGCGCGTGTGATTGATTTCGGTTGTTGAATTCGCATTGAATTCACGATCAGAATCATATCAGAATTGCATTTCTTGATTTTGCGGGATCGGAAAACACAAGTGTTTGGTGAGATTTGAGATCTGAGTTAGTTTTCAGTGCACAAGAACGAAGATGAACAACGAAATAGCTTGAATACAAAGCTTCCAGTGTTTGATGGAAAGATTTGGAATCAGTGGATGATTCAGATGCGTGAGTTGTCTAGTATTAAAGACGTTCTTGATCTCGTTATCGACCGTTACGTTTCAATTGCAGCAGATGCGACTGAGGAACAGAGAAACACGCAAAAAGATACGAGGAAGAAGGATCAGAAGGCTTTGTTCTAAATCTATCGGTGTGTGGATGCGAATGTGTTTGAGAAAAATGTTGATTCAACAACGACGAAGGCTGCATGGGACATACTTGCAAAGTGCTTAACGGTGATGCATCAGTGAAGAAGGTGAAGCTCCAGTCTCTATGTAAGCATTATGAGAATCTCAACATGAAGAACAATGAGAATGTACCTGATTACATCTATAGAGTGATTCTGATCACAAATGAGATGAAATCTTGTGGAGAAACTCTTTATGAACAAGTGATCATTGAGAATGTATTGTGATCCCTTACTCCTCAGTTTGATTACATTGTTGTAGCAATTGAACATTCTAAGAACCTCAACGCGGTAATAATTGAAGAGCTGTAGAGAAGTCTAGAGGCAAAATAGTTGCGTCTGAATGAGAGAACCTCTGAAAGAGAGGTAAAGCAAGCTCTGAATGCGTCTTCTGGTAAGAAGAGTCAGAAGCAGTCTTGGCCAGAAACCAAGAAGAGACATGGTGGTTCTCAGAAGTCAGAAGCCTTCAACTCTGATGAGAAGAAACATCAGAAGAGAAATGAGAAGTTTGACAAGAGGGGGGTTCAATGTTACTGTTGTAATAGGTTTGGTTACTTTTTAAAGGAGTGTTGGTTAAACAAGGAAAGGAATTCAGAAGAAGCAAACATACCCAGAGGAGATTTTGATGATAAATTTGTGCTATTGATGGCTTCTGAATCTGATGGTGGATATTTGGTAAACTGGTGGTATATGGACACTAGCTGCTCAAATCACCTAACTTGAAACAAATAATTGTTGATTGATTTTGACTCTATAAAGAGGACAAAGATCTGATGTGTTGATGATAAGTACCTTAATGCTGAAGGTATGGAAAATATCAAAGTCAAAGTGAAGAATGGTAAAACCGTTATGATCAAGGATGTTTGGTATGTTCCTCACATGAAGAGAAATTTGATGAGTGCATGTCAACTCATTGAAAAAGGTTTCTCAGTTACCAAGAAAAAAAATCTCTTGAAGTTGTATAATTTTGATTAGAAGATGATTATACAATTTAAGCAGGAAAACAACAAAATATTCAAGGTGAATATAGAAACAACATAAACTAAATGCCTTAGTGTAGAAGGTGTTGAAGGTGAAAATGAGTTGTGGCATAAGAGATTGAGGCATTTGAACTTCATAAGCTTAGGACATCTGAGTTCTAAGAAGCAAGTACATGGAATTCTTAAGATTTTGAAGTCTTAGAAGTCATGTGAGATATGCATGAAAGGCAAGCAACCCAGATTTCCATTTGCATCAGAAGTGACTATGAGAGAAAAATATGCTTTGGGAGTAGTGTATTTTGATGTATATGAACCATTTGAAGTACCCTCACTTAGAGGAAACAAGAATTTTGCGTCGTTTATGGATGAGTTCACAAGGATGACATGAGTATCACTCATCAAGTTTAAGTATGAAGTGTTTACTGAGTTTGAAATATTCAATGTGAAGGCTGAAAAATAGAGTGGTCAAAAGCTGAAAGTTCTCAGAACTAACGACCGAGGTGAGTAATCCTATAGAGTTCAAGAAGTTTTGTGAGAAGAATGGAATTGAGCATGAGGTTACTTCTCCATACACTCCTCAACACAATGGTCTTGCTCAAATAAAAAAATCACACCTTGCTTGATATAACAAGGAGCATGTTGAAAGAGAAGAATTTGCCTCACACCTTGTAGGGAGAAGTTGTTTCCACTTTAGCATATGTGCTCAACAGGTGTCCAACAAAGAAGCTGAAGGAAACTATTCCATTTGAGAAGTGGACTGGAGATAAGCAAAGTGTGAGTCATTTCAAAGTATTTGGTTCAGTTTGTTACAAACATGTTCCAGGTGTTACTAGAAAGAAGTTGGATGACAAAAGCAAAGTAATGTTGCTGATTGAGTACCGTAGTACAGGTGCGTATAAGATTTATTGTCCAGTCCCTGATAAGGTTGAAATCACCAGAGACTTAATTGTGAAAGATTTAGAAGTGTGGCATTAAAGCAAGTCTCAATCCAACTCTGGTGCAGTATTGACACCTACAATAACTTCTGAAGATACTTCTGATTCTGAATTTGAGTCAGAGTCTAAAGGTGACTCTAAAGCCGAAGGTGACTCTGAAGATGAGTCAGAGTCAAAAGATGACTCTGAAGCTGAAGGTGAATTTGATTATGATCCAGATTCTTATGATGATCCAGACTCTGGTGGTCAAGCCTCTAAGGAGGGTCATGTTTCTGAAGGTGGAACTTCAGGAGGTAGAACTTCTAAAGGTGGTCTAACTTCTGAAGGTGGTCCAACATTTGATATTGCTTCAGTATCTGAAGAAGATTCTGAACAAGTTCAGAGGCCACAAAGGTTCAGACAAATATCAAGAAGATTCACAGATTTTGACATGTTACAAGATACTGAGAGAAACTCTGAAGGAGAAGTCATTCAGTGTTCCACATTAGTAGACATTTGAACCAGTTAGTACTGAAGAAGATCTCAAGAAAAAAGTGTGGCTGAAGGCCATGAAAGACGATCTTGAAGCTACAAAAAGAAACAAGACTTGGTAATTGACTGAGTTTCCAAAGGAGAAGAAATCCATCTGCGTCAATGGGTTTTCAAGATAAAATTTAAGCCAGATGGATGACTTGGAAAACATAAATCAAGGTTAGTATCTAGAGTATTTTTACAGAAATATGGGGTAGATGACTTTGAGGTGTTTGCGCCTGTAGCTAGGCATGAAACAATTAGATTTGTGATTGCTATAGCTGCTAATAGAAATTGGCCTCTGATGCATCTAAATGTGAAATATGATTTTCTAAACGTTCCATTACAAGAAGAGTTATATGTTTCACATCTTCTTAATGTGAAGTATGGAGTGAAACAAGCTCATAGAGCTTGGAATCTGAGAATTGATTCATTTTTCAAGCTTCAAGAATTCAGAAAGTGTGAGATGGAGTATGATGTTTATGTTCAACATACATCTGAAAGCAATATGATTCTGGTGTGTCTCTATGTTGATGACATATTGCTAATATGGAGTTGTTCAGTATTTCCTCCATCTCTTGCTTGGAGGAATTTTCAGTAGTTTCTTTTCGCGCCCCCGTCTGGGCAGGCTCAATCATCTTTTCTTTTCCCCAAGTCTCAGCAGTTGACTCAGTAACAAGGATACGAACTGGTGTAATAACATCCTTTGGAGAGATTTCTGGAGAGAAAACCCTTCCATTTCTAGTAACCTTACTAGTCCCAACAATATTGCCAACATTGGGATTAGTAACTTCAATATTTTCACCATCGACAATCAACTGTTCTTGCTTGACACCATGGTAGTAGACATCAGCTCCATAATTCCAAGTGACATCCTTTTTAGAGGAATATGAAATTGGCCCCGGTGTGGTAATGATTAGAGGAGCCACCCTAGGCTCGACAGTAATCCTCACAAGACCTTTAGAAGTGATCCTCACAGGAGTACCAGAAATCGTAATCAGTGACACGTCTTCAAGCTTTAGGCCTTGAGACACACTTTCATATAAGCCCTCCACGGAAGGAGTCTTCTCGAATAGAATTACACAGTCATCTATCAAATGCTGAATACCTTTCTTCAGCAATACATAACCCTTGGATTGGGACATATAGTGGTAGAACTTTTCAATGCAAC